CACTAGGACCGCACGGACACCCGCCGCCGGTCGGCAGTAGTGCGCAGGCGCGGGAATCGCCCCGCCCACCCCCGAGGCTACTTCCGCTCCGCGGCGGAAAGGCGCCCGCCTGGCTGTCCGTGGCGGAAGTGAGGGCGCGTCATCGGCAGGGCGCTGGGCGGGAGCGGGACGCGGAGTCGGCGCCATGGCCGGGATCCTCTTCGAGGACATCTTCGACGTCAAGGACATCGACCCCGAGGGCAAGAAGTTCGACCGTGGTGAGTGGGGCCCCGGCGCCGCCCGGCCCCGGCTGCTCCCTGCCGGGTTCCAGCCCGGGCCTGCGCCGCCTCAGGCCGGAGCGGCTCGGCGCTGCCCTCCCGCGGCGCGGGGGTCTTCTACCCTCCCTCAGCCCGGCCTGTCCCGCTTCCCCCGCTGCCCTTCCCGCCGGCGGGGGCCCCTGTCCCCTCGCCGTCGTCCGGCACCGACCCGACCGTGTGTTGCCGCACCCCGGTGCGCCCTGCTTCCCCAGCCCGGCTTCTGTGCCCCTCCATACCCCCGCGACCCCGGTACGCTCCATTCCCCACCCCACCGTGTTCCTCTGCCTGCCTGTGCGCACCTTAGTCTGCTCCTGGGCTCTGGCATCCATCCCCCAAACCCTGTGTGCCCCTTCCTCACAAACAGTTCGGGTGCCAGCCTGGGGTGGGGACAAGAATGGCCTGGCCCTGGGACCCTGCTCCTACCCAGCCCCTGGGGGTCTTCGCTGTCTTTGTCGCTGACTCTGCTGCTCTTCTCAGTATCCCGCCTGCACTGTGAGAGCGAGTCCTTCAAGATGGACCTCATCCTGGACGTGAACATCCAGATCTACCCCGTGGACCTGGGTAGGCTATCGGGCCTCTAGTTCAGAGTGTGCTAGGCCTGAGCCAGTGTCAGCTTGGGTGGGTAAGCTTAGAGAGGCGCATGCTGGTGCTTGGAGGAGGGGGACTGAATTTGCTGCAAACAAGGAGTGAGCTGTCTCAGACTTCCTTGGGCCCCTGTGCTGTCCCCAGGTGGCAGGAGGTACTAGGCACTCTCAGTGTGCTGGAGCTGAGCTGGATTCTGGTTTGCCTCACTATGTGTTGGGATTCATCTCTGGCCTGTTTCCCAGAGATGCTGTCTAGTGAAACTGCCTCAGTTGGTGGTAACCAAGCCTTGAGGGAGACCTTTTGAAATGAGCTTCTGTGGCCTAATATACTAAACAGGTGGAAAGGAGAGTCTTACCCTCAATGAAGTACAGAAGGGCTGGAACTGTTACTGCAGGGTCTCGCCCATCTGCCCAGGGTCCAGCCAAGCCCTCTGGAACTCTCCCTGTGAATCTCTTGCTGTGTCCCATGAAAACACCAGCAGTGGTGTGCTGGTGGCTCTGGTTTCCTCCACAGTGGTGACCAATGTCTGTGGGGAATCCGGAGACAGAGGATCTAGAGCAATCTTTTCCGCGTTCCCCGCAATCATGTTGGAGGACTGAAGGCAGGGACGGGGCTTTGTGCTAAACCTGCCAGGGCAGCTCCTTGCCACCACCCTGAGATCTGCTGTGGCCGCTGCTGCTGTTCTGGCTGTGCCCCCCCACTTTCTCACCACTCCTCTGCCCTCTCTTCCCAGGGGACAAATTCCGCCTGGTCATCGCCAGCACCTTGTATGAAGATGGCACTCTAGATGATGGCGAGTATAACCCCACGGATGACAGGCCATCCAGGTATGGGGTCCAGCCGGGACCCATGTGGGGGTGGATGAGGGAAAAGGTGAAGTGCTGGGGGGCTGTGAGAAACCTTCTCCCAAAGGACATTCAGCAGGGGGAACACCTGGGTTTGACTCTTCTCTGAACTCCCACCATCTTGTCGCAGGGCAGACCAGTTCGAGTATGTGATGTACGGCAAGGTGTACAGGATTGAAGGGGATGAAACCTCCACAGAGGCAGCCACACGCCTGTGAGTGCCTGTCTGCAGGAGTGGGGGGACACGGTGCTCTGGGGTGGCGTGGGGGAGGCACCAGGATCTCAGTCTGGGTCTCCCATGGGATTCCCTGCTCTCACTGCTCCTCTCCTCCTGCCCCAGCTCTGCCTACGTGTCCTACGGGGGACTGCTCATGCGGCTGCAGGGGGATGCAAACAACCTGCATGGCTTTGAAGTGGACTCTCGAGTTTACCTGCTGATGAAGAAGCTGGCCTTCTAGGAGACCTCCTACCTCCATGGGCTGCCCCAGAGACGTTCTGCTGGCGAGCAAACAGGAACTCTGCGACCCCAAATTCTGCCCCAGCATCCACACTGCCTGTCCCTTCCAGAACTGGGGAGGAGGGAGCAGTCCCTCTCCTCATCCCGGCCTCTTCTGACTCCTTCTGGGATCTGCAGTCACCTCCTGCATGGAGAGAGGTGCCTAACAGCCGAGTGGAGACTGCACTGGGTACTCCATGGTCCTGCCTGCTGGGCGTCTCCTCACCTCTGCCTTCCTGTGCTTCAAAAGCAGGCGAGGCCCCGGCTCTGGCCAGGGGCAGCTGGACTGGGACAGCGCCTGTCTGCCTTGGGGCTGGGGACAGCTTCCTAAGGAGCCATCCTGAGGCAGGCCAGGCTTGTTCTTGATTAAACTGAGATGTTTTTTCTAGATCTGGCTCTGCTGGCTGGGAGATGAGGCTGGCAGGGAGCGGGTACACATGCGTGGGGAGCAAAGGGGGCTCACACCACTTTCCCAAAGGACGTACAGTCCAAACCTGCCTTGGGCTCTTCTCTGCTGCCCTGCTGGGCATGGTGCACGCTAAGGCTAGGGAGGGGCAGGTGGGTGTAGAGGGTGAGGAGTGGTAGCTCATGTCCCCAAGTGGGGTCTGGTGCCTGACAGAGCCCGCCTGCCCTGCCAAGCTGGCGGCTGCCGTGGGAGGGAGCTGGGTGCTGGAGAGAGACCCGGAGCACATCTCTGAGGGGCTGCCTCTGATGGAGGCCCCTGGGAATGTGTGGTCCCCCTGCCCAGGGCCACAGCAGAGGAGAAAAGGAGGATCCAAAAGACTCTTTAGAAAAATAGCTCTTTAATCATAAAGCATTCACAGTAGAGGTGCCTGCCTGGGTGGGAGCAGGGCCTGTGCCTGCTGGCGCAGGGGTGTTGGCGCGTTCTGCCTCTGTGGGTTGTGCAGTTGCTGAAGGCTTGAGGAACAGGAGCCAACCTTTTCCCTGCGGGCACCTTCCTGGGCACCCAGAGCACAGCTCAGTGTCCGGCAGGTTTTCTCTGACCTGGGATCAGGGTGAACTCTGTGCACAGCCTCACTGGGCCCTCCACTGAGGGTCTCTGCCACCTTCCTGGCTTTGCTTGCACAAGTCCTTGGCCAGGTCATGGAAGAAGAAGCGCAGCTTGCCCTGCACTAGCTGCCGGTAGGTGAGGAAAATGCTGGTGACGTGGGTCTGCTCCACAGAGTGCGTGGAGCAGCCTGGCTCCCAGGGTCCTGCCTGAGGGGCGAGAGCAGGACAAGAGGGGTGACAAATGCTGTTGTACCCAGCCCAGCGCAGCTGGTGCCTGCACCAGGGTGATCTGGCTCACATGGGGAGGTCTCACCTCCCAGCTGAAGGTCTGCAGGAGCAGGAGGAAGGAGTTGGTGTGTCGGTAAAGCTGGCTCAGCTGCCTGGCCCCGCACTCCTGGGTCACCTGGCCCTGGGCCTCTACCACGGCACCCACCAGCAGTGCCAGGTCGCACAGGATCTCCTGCCGCTTGGTCTCATTCTGGGAGAACAGGCAGTGAGCAGGCTGACCCCTGGCCCCAATTCATTCCTATGCCCACCCTAGGTCTGGATGCGGTCCTCAACCCCCCTGTGCCACCAGGTGTGCCCACAGGCATCTTGTTTGGCATTTTTGGTGCCTGTGCCAACCTGGGGACTCCTCCAGCCCCATGGGCACCCCAGTGCCAGCACCATCCTCCCAGCCTTTCTCACCGATTTGGATTTCCACTGCTGGAGGCTGAAGTCCACCAAGGGCAGCACCATGGGGCAGTTGAGTGTGGGCAGTGCCTGGCACTGGCCCTAGAGGGGAGAGGAGATGCTGAGGTGAGATACCAGGAGCTGTGCCTCTCCCCGGCCTTGGGTTTAGGGTGGAGGGGGACTGTATTCTCACCGCTTTCTTCTCCATGTCCTTGGCCTCCCCGATGTACTTCTGGATGAGTCTGTTGTCGCAGACCAGCCGTGTTAGGTTGGCATGGCCCTCTTCCATGTGCAGGAGGAAGGATGTGAGGAGGAGCAGTCCTGCAGGAGGCGGGGTTACCTTGGGTACCATGCCACCCTCCCTGGGCAGCTCCAGCCCAGGACCATGCCTGCAGCAGCAAGCCCTTGCCTCAGCCTGTTGGTGCCCTTGATGGCCCTGTGGTGGGCACACAGCAGGAGGTCTAGGGGGGCAGAGGAGAGCCTGGTGCTGCCCTCCGGTCAGTCAGCACAGGGGCCTGGCGCTCGCTGGGGAGAGCCGTTTCCCTGCTGTACCGAAAGGCAGGTGGTGTGCGCCAAGGGGCCGTGCAGCTGCGTCTGTGCCAGGTTTTTTGGCTCCTCTGCAGGCTGGGCTGCAGGCGAGGAGCAGAGCCACGCTCCCTATGCAGACCGGGGCCAGCCCTCCTGATCTGTGCCAGGAGCAGCTCTGGCTATTACGTGCACTTCGGGGAATCCCTGCCTGCAGCATCCCGCAGCCTCCGTCTGCTCCTTGCCGCTGCTCCGGCCAAGGGCTCGCCTGCCAGCACTGCCTTCCCCAGCACCGCTGGCACGCTGCTGCTCTGAATGCCTCTCGGCCGGGTGGCTGCTGTGCCCGATGACCGCCCATCCTGGTGATGGGCATCTCCTCTCCAAAGGCCCTCTGAGCATCCGCCTGCCTCGCTGCCCACCTTGGCACCGCACCTCTCCCCAAAAGCCCTCGGTGTAGCCCGTTTCCCTAGGACAGGCTCGGAGAGATGCTTGGCTGCCCTTGTGTGCTGGTAGCAGCCAGGTCCAACCAAACCAGAGCCACCCTTGGGGTTTGCTACCTACATGTGGGTCTCCATCTCTTGGAGTCCCCGTGCGGTGGACACTCTGGCCGTGGTGCCGGCTGCCAACGCAGCGCCCCTTCCCGCTTGCTCCCGTCCCCCCTTTTAGCCGCGCACTCACTGTTCAGCTCCATGCTCAGCTGGGGGCTTCGGCCCTGCATCTTCCACCCTGGGGCCAGCGGCTGCTCCCCGGCTCCCGTCCCCCTTCCATGGAGGACGGCGGTGATGCGGGCTCCCCGTGAGCCGCCCGGCCGGGTTGGAGGGCCAGGGGCCAGGAGTGCCCCCGGGGCGGCACAGCACGGCTCTCCGGCTCTGGCCGGAGCCCGGCCGCCCAGCGCGATTTCCTGTTGTGTCGCCGCTGACCTTCGAGCAAAATCGCAGCGGGGGCCCTGGGCCCGGGGGACGGCTTCCTGCCTCCGGCCGCTTCCTCCCTTGGCTCGGGGCGCGGGAAGGGCGTCCCCGGGCGCCCTCCGGGACTGCTCACCTGCCCACTGGCCTGAGCGCTCGGCTGCCAGGGCCTCGGTGGTCAGCGCCTTGGCCGTGCCCGTCCAGGGGGTGAGGTGGCACCGGTACCTGCAGGAGAGATGGCATCAGCGACCCTGTGCTGGGTGGCCCTGGAACTATCAGCCCTGATGGGGTCCTGCTCCTGGCTGCGGCAGCCAGGCATGAAGGCCACCAAAAATCCTCGTCCAGAGGTGGGCTCCAACCCTGTTGACCTTCACCCAGAGATGGGCTCCAATCCTGTTGACCTTCACCAACCCTGGTGACCATCGCCCAGAGGTGGGCTCCAGCTCCAGTGATCCTTGCCCAGAGGTGGACCCCAAGCCCAGTGACCCTTGCCCAGAGGTGGGCTCCAACCCCTGCATCTGTCACCCAGAGGCAACTCAGGGAAGTGGAGATCCCTGGCATGGCTGTGGTGCACGGTGACCTCTCCGAGCTGGGGAGGGTGATGGAGCACAGGGGTTTGGCTGGCGTGCGGCCCCCAGGGCTGTTTCACCAGGGGTATTGGTTGGGGCTGAGGCAGGTGAAGCACCCACAGATGCCCCCTCCCTGGGTAGGAGAAACACTGGGGGTCTCTCCAGCACCAGGCCCTGGCATGGCCATGACACCCCCCTGGCAAAGCCAGCCCTTCCCAGGGCACTCTGGCTGCTGGGGGGGTGCACCCACCTATACCCGTGTATGCATGCACGTGTGTGTCCGTATGGCACACGTGTACACGCCCCCCACATGCACCCTCAGACCTACATGTGCACACGCGCACTTCCTGCGGCACACATCGGGGTGCACGCTTGGATAACCCCTGGGGCAGGGCAGCCCCCCACATGCTTCCCTTTGGGGGCGACCCCCCCCCCAGCCCACATCCTCTTGCCCCCGGTCTCCCCGCAGCCTGCATGCTTCCTTCTCACACCCCTGCTCTCGCACACTCTCGCATGCTCCCACCCCTGTCCCTGCGGCCGGCGGTTCCCGGCAGCGCCTGGCCGGGTGACAACAGGCAGAGTAAACACCTCAGCCCCATTCCGCCTGCCCCATGCCCCGCTTGGCCCGTGGCAACCCACCTTGCAGGTTGCGGGGTGCCTGGACGGGAGGGTCCGGCGGGTGCCACGGCTCCGGGGACGAGGCTGGCAGCCCGGCTCGCTTGGGGCACAGCTGGCGGTGGTGGGAGCCGCGAGCACCGGGGTCAAACACCGCCAGGCTTCCCCCGCACAGCCGTGCTCCGTCTGTGCGGACGTGACAAGCTGCAAATGCGCCCTCCAGCACCCTCAGCCCCTCTGCCAGCACTGGCCCTGCTCCCGCCACCGGCCCCGTGCCAGTCGCAGCCGTTCCCCGGGTCCCTGTCCCTCCCTGGGTGCAAAACCATCGACGATGCCAGGCTGGAGAGCTGTGGTGCCCCGCGCTCCCTGCTTGCCCTCGTAATTAGGCAAATGAACCCATCAGGGAAAACCAGAGGGCAGCTGGAAACTGGAGGTCTGCTGGACTCCAGTGGGCACTGAGGCACCCCAAGGTGCCTACAGTAGTCCCTTCACTCCAAAACGCTCATTTGCAGCTGCGACAGAAGCTGGCAGGCAGCTGGAGCCCATGCCTGTGGGCAGCCTGGTATTCTCCTGCTGGAAACGGCAATGCCAGCATTTGCTGTCCGTGCCGGGCGGGGGGGCAGAGGGGGATGTGGGGGGGAGCCCCTGCTGCTGGCCCACCGCGTTCCCACCAGCCCAAATCCAGGGATGGCTCCACGCGTGCCGTGGAGGAAGGGGGTTTGGGGGCAGTGAGTGACTCTCAGGGACCCCAGAGGGGCATGGGGGCTCCGGCCGAGGCGGGCAGGGCTCTGGCAGGGGGCAGGAAGCCAGGTGGGGGCCGCAGGGCTGTGCAGCTGGCCGGATCCCAGTGCCAAGTTTCCCACCTCTCTTTACAGGGTGCAAAGTGCCGGGAATCCCACTGCGGGGGGGCCAGCCGTTCGCACCCACTTCGCCAAGGTGATGAGGGCAGCCGGAGGTGCCAGGCGGCCGAGGGGGGGGCGGGGGTGGGGGGGAGACCGTGGACGGGTGGCACAGCTGCTGTCCCCGCAGGCCACCCAGATGTGCTCAGTGGGCACCCCCAGGATGTCAGTGCAAGGCAGGGGGGGCACGGGAAGCAAACCTGGGCTTCCAGGGCCAGGGAGGGGGCTCCCAGCCCCCTTTGAAGCCCCCATAAAAGGGTCCAGCATAAAGGGAGGAGAAAGTCAAAGGAACAAAGAGAGCGGCTAATCCCGGCGTGAGCAAACAGCCCCGTTTGCTCATGGCCCAGCTGGCCCCGGGGCCAGGGAAAGGAGCACAGTGGGGCTCTGGAGGTGCCAGGCGGGGGGGGGGGGGCCCTCTACCTGGGCTGGCCCCTGTCCTCAAGCTCGGGCAGCCCCCAGGAGCTGGGTGCTCCTTACCCCCTCCGGGCCTTTTTTTTTACATTTGCAAATTGCCAATAAACATCCGTGGGCAAATCCTGCTCCCCACACCCTCCGCACCCCACACCACTCCCCCGGCAGCTGGTCCCAGGAAAGCACCATGGTGCTGCTGGGTGAAGGGGCTTGCAAGGGGCACCCTAGCTGGCGTGTGGCAGCTCAGGGGGTGAAGGCTGGCAGGGTTTTCCCCACCTTTCCCAATTCCCAGCTGGCCACGCACTGCCCGGCACCCCGGCACAAAGCCCTGGCTGCTGCCCAGAGGATGCCCATGGGCAAACCCTCCAGCTGCTGCCTTGCACCAAGGCACCTTGTGCCGGTGGCCCTGCTGGCATCTGGGGCGATCCCACCATGTCCCCTTTCCCCATCCTGCTCCTCGGCCCAGCTCTCCACCCTGACAGGGGGGTGCCAGGAGGGCACCTCGCCCCTCTCCCTCCATCCTTCAGGGTGGTGAAGGGGTTAATGCCAGGCGGCGGAGCCGCAGGTGGGCGCAAGAATGAAATTCCTTCTCGCCGTCCTGCGAAGTCTGGGCACAAATATTTGCCTGCATGTCCGGTGGGGAGGGGGGGAGACCACCATCGCTCTGGGAGCTTGCTAATCCCCATGCCAAACACGGCCCCCCCATGCCCTGCATGCCCCCCACCTTCCTCCTGCCGGGGTCACCCCGCAAGGCCTTTGAGGAGGGGACATTTGGGGCCAGGGGGACAGCAGCACCCTGGGTGCTCCTATAAGCAGGGAGCTCCGTGGAATTGACGGGGCACCTGGAGCAGGCACAGCCGGGATCTGCTTGGCGTGTCAGACAAGGCTGCTTTGGGGTCTCCATCCCGTTCCCCATGCAGCAGGCCGGGATGAAGGCGAGAGTCCCTGCCATGCCGGCAACGCGCCCTCCGTAATAAACTCCATGTGTTTGCAGACAGAAAACAGCCACTTTCCCCCCCACCATCAGCCCCCCCAAGCTGCATCCCCCTCCCCGTACCTGCCACCCCCAA